GGTAAAAAAGGAAGGTTATACACTGCCTTTTTTTGAGCCCCGAAAAAAAATTCTCAGATCGACCCGGAAAAAAAAAATTTTCTTATAGAATGCGGCCTGTAGAATCCATAATTTCAAACAGTTCCAAGATTGGGCTACTAGTTCAAAAGTTACAGCCCTTTGAATTTTTTTTCGAAATTGGTTTCTAGTCTACAACTTTTGATTAAGAAGTCTAATCGAAAAAGTACGAATTGTTTGGATTCTACGCACCAAAATAAATAAGAAAAAGTCTTTTCCCGAGAAATTTTGGTGTAGTCGATTTTTGGTAAAAAAGGAAGGTTATACACTGCTTTTTTTTGAGGCCCGAAAAAAAAAATTGTCTCAGATCGACCCGGAAAAAAATGTTCTTATAGAATGTGGCCTGTGGAATCCATAATTTCAAACAGTTCTAAGATTGGGATACTAGTTCAAAAGTTACAGCCCTTTGAATTTTCTCTCGAAATTGGTTTCTAGTTTATAACTTTTGATTGAGAAGACTGATCGAAAAAGTACGAATTGTTTTGGATTCTACGCACCAAAATTAATAAGAAAAAGTGTTTTCCCGAGAAATTTTGGTGTAGTCCATTTTTGGTAAAAAAGGAAGGTTATACACTGCCTTTTTTTGAGCCCCGAAAAAAAAATTGTCTCAGATCGACCCGGAAAAAAATTTTCTTATAGAATGTGGCCTGTAGAATCCATAATTTCAAACAGTTCCAAGATTGGGCTACTAGTTCAAAAGTTACAGCCCTTTGAACTTTTTTTCGAAATTGGTTTCTAGTCTATAACTTTTGATTGAGAAGTCTGATCGAAAAAGTACGAATTGTTTTGGATTCTACGCACCAAAATTAATAAGAAAAAGTGTTTTCCCGAGAAATTTTGGTGTAGTCGATTTTTGGTAAAAAAGGAAGGTTATACACTGCCTTTTTTTGAGGCCCGAAAAAAAAATTGTCTCAGATCGACCCGGAAAAAAAAATTTTCTTATAGAATGTGGCCTGTAGAATCCATAATTTCAAACAGTTCCAAGATTGGGCTACTAGTTCAAAAGTTACAGCCCTTTGAATTTTCTTTCGAAATTGGTTTCTAGTCTATAACTTTTGATTGAGAA